CAACGTATCACATGATCCGTACCACACTTTTGGATGAGCTTGATGTGGAAGTCCAAAAGTGTGTGAAACCTGTCCTCGCTACTGCAGCTACCTACGGTTGCACGATAATGACAAACGGTTGGACCAACATTCGGGGCCAAACGTTGTGCAACTATCTCGTCGGCACTACACGGGGCGCCACATACGTCGCGACAGATGTTATGCGAGGAAAGAAGGATGCCACTGCTCTGGCGCAGGCTTGGCTGCGAAGGTTGAAGTCCCTTGACATCAAGCTCGCCGACATCAYCGCTTTCGTCACAGWCTCTGCCAGTTCGAACGTTTCTGCGATGGARGTGTTCCAGAAGGATGAGAGTGTCAAGCACATCTTTTGGATTCCTTGTGTGGCACACGTCATGGACCTCATCCTTGAGGACATCGGCAACATTGACTGGGTGGCGACCCTCAGGCGCGTTTGGTCACTAAGTTTTTCAAGCGTCATAGCCACGCTCGCGAAGTTTTGCAAACTTTCACGACGAAGGCTCTGCTGCTTCCCGCCGAGACTCGCTTCGGTACGCATGTGATTATGATGCGACGACTTCTTCTGCTGCAATCGCATCTTACGCAGGTGGTCGTTGATGATCAATGGAAGGACACTGTTTGGTCAACAAAGAAGATTCGAGACGCCGCCGCGGAGGTCACAACATGTGTCGGTTGTCGTCAATGGTGGGAGGATATGAGAGCGCTGTGCAAGTTGTTGGATCCCATCATGGACATGCTGCAGATGGTGGACAGCGACACGAGGCAGWTTGGCAAGATTCTGCGTCGGTACGATGAGATAATCGCGCGTTGTTTGTCTGCATGCGCTTTGGAGAAGGACGAGCAGGACGCGTTGCTTGAAGTGTTTGACAGACGCCGCACCATGTTTAAGTCGCCTGCTCATGTTGCTGCCATGATGTTGGACCCCGAGTTTCGAGACCGCACGATGCCAGATGACGAGGAGATGCAGCACGGTTTGAAACTCGCTCTGATTCAGTTTGGGTACCCGGAAYATTCGGATCAGCACACCGAGGTCCTCACTGCCATTGACAAGTTCCATTCCAGGGAGCCGCCGTTCGACGATGTGGCCATGGACCGGGCGGCGAGGAGCTATACCCATCCAACATGTTTCTGGGAGTCGAAGGAGAAGAGGTTCCCGCACACGGTCTTCTTCGCTGGCAGGATACTGCGTGTGTGGGCAACTGCGTCGCCTTGCGAGAGAGCTTGGTCCCGTTGGAGTTTCATCCACTCCAAATCTCGTAACAGATTGGAGGTGGCGCGGGCCGAGAAGCTCGTGCGATGCCATTGGAACCTTCGGCTCCTCGACAGGCAGGCTATGTCGGACGATGCTCCCAGTGACAGGCCACATCCGTATGGGAGCTGGGTGCACTACAAGCAGCAGGTGGAGGAGGAGGTGCCCACCGACCAGCAGCTTATGGCAGACCGAGGAGCCCGTGTGACGGTCACGAAGGAGGAGTTGACGCAGGCGAGAGAGAGGATGCGCGTCTTGTCCCGCATGGGAGCCACTCGTCGCTTGCGGGAGTCTGACAGGAGGAGGTGTCGTGGCGGCGGTCGCGGAGGTGGTCGTCGGGGCGGTCGCGGGTGAGGCGGGCGTGGAGGTCCTGGCGGGAGGCGTAGTGTAGCGAGTCGTGGAAGGGCAGTGGACGAGCTAGTACGCAAGCCTCGACAACGATGGGAGGAGGGAGACTTTTTGTACGAGAGCTCGTCTAGCGATGACGAGGATTTATTCGGGAATGGCAGGCCTGTACAGGATGGCGACAGCGATTTCGACGACCGTCACCCGAACGTGGGCGACGACGATGGCGCCAGTGGCGATGATCACGGTGACRGAGGAGATAGGCCACGACCAGCACATGGTGACACGATGCGCGCCGACGGGGCAGGGGGCGAGCACCGCACAGCAGTAGATSACGCTCGAGATGGAGTGCATGATGATGGTTCACGACCTGTCTCGGGCGGTAACCTGAGGCGCTTGAAACGC